TGTCCGTAGTGTATGAGTGTGAATGAGTGTGTATGGTTGTTTCCCCAATTATGGGTTGCAGCTGGAAGGGCATCCGATGCGTAAAAACATATGCTTGATAAGTTGGTGGTTCATTCCAATGTGGCAACCCTAGATTAATAAAGGGACTAAGCCAAAAAAAGAAAATTAATGAATGAATAAAAGGAGGGTAGAACAACAATGACGGTGTGTGCCTATAGTTTGTACACATGGCTCTTTGCAGATTTAGAATTAACATTTGTATCAGCTCTTGGTGCTTGTATATAGAGGCTGAAGGGATGGTGGGGTTGTTGAGAGAGGCCGCAGTTTGGGTTAAAGGTAGCATACGCCAGGGCAGCTGCAAAATCTGCCCTGCCAAGGACGCTGCGCTTCCAAAGCCTGCTCTGTGCCATTAAATGGGTCATTGACCAGCTAAATGGAGTCATTATGATGAGTAACTAAAAGAATAGCCCCCAAATCCTTGAACCTCGTCTCTGCTGAGCCCTGGGTTCCGCCGCTTTTGGGGTTTCACAGGCTTTTGCTGTATGAGACCTCTTTCAGGCAAATGCAAATGGCGTCCTGACCAGCTAATTATACCACATCAACAATTCCCCACTCTATTGACAGTCACAGGGCTTGGGAAATCCATGGGAAACACTTTTATTTATTTATTTTAGGTTTAACTAGTGATGCTGTTGTGACTCTGAGATCTCCTTTTAGAGCAGTGTTGGAAACAGCTATTAGCATAGATGCTAGCAGGCTAGATATATAAGCAATATCACATGAGTAGCAGTGCGACATGGCTGTACATTAGCACTGGTGTGAGGCGAGTAGTGTCCCACCAGTGACAATATGCTGCCATATTGCACTGCTACTCGTGTAATATTGCTTTTATACAACAGTTTGACAGCATAATCGTATATATATATATATATATTATTATATTATATATATATATATAAGAAAATCAAATGCAATAGACTAAAAATTATTTTGTATGACTACTTTCTTCCGCCACTCATTCACATCTGCAGCTGACATCAAAACATCAGAAACCATTGCTACTTCACAAACATCGTTTTAGAGCTCATATTTGAATTATTCTCAAGCGTAATGTCTAAAGTAAAGACAAAACAGGTGATTTTGCTGACATTTTAAGATTATAAGGCTGGACAGCATGAAATGCCTTCAGTCTACAGAGATTTTCCAGTATTTCTCTGTTGCAATCGGGAGACCACAATAATTAAACCAAAAAAGCAGAGCAAACTCTACCAGATTACTGTTGTGTTTGCGATAAGAAAATAATGCAAAACACATTTGGACATTTCTTCTTTCTTTCTTTTTACTGAACTAGTCTGCAGTAACTAAAACAGGAAACTTTTTTCAACAAACAGATGGCCGACCAAAAAGTAACTCAGGGTTATAGAAAGAGTGGCCAACACAAAATACATACGTTACTGATTTGTGATTCTCATCTCACACTCAAAACACTACAATAACTATGGTATAAATACAGCACTACAACATACAAAAGAGAGATATCAACTTAAAATGTCACTTACCAGTTTACTTATGATTTGATCAGCTGTTGTTAGAAATTACGATTTTTTTCTCTTCTAAGGACTTACTGGCGGTCTCGGTCACCATCTGTGGATGGACAACGTCTTTGCTCTGCTCAATGACAAGTTAATGACTGCTGTCGCGCTGTCTCTCCATATATATAAGTATTTAAAATAGGCACTATTCTTATAAATCAACTGCATAGTTGCAATCTAAACAACTACATTCTTGCCTAAAAATGCCTCAAAAGTACATTAGGTTGTCCACAGCAACAATTTTGTCAAATTGTAGTGTCCTTCGCTTGTTTTTGTTTATGGGTGGAATATTATACAATGGTAAAGGGTTAAGAGGCTGGATTAGTGCTGTTTGCAGAATACCACACAGCTATCAGCCAATCAGATTCAAGAACAAGGCAGAACTGTTGTATAATAGCAAAATAAAAACTGATCATGCTGGAGGCTTTTGAATCAAGTCTTGAATCATGTAAACCAATACAATACAGTACTATACTATGCTATACTATACTATACTATACTATACTATACTATACTATACTATACTATACTATACTATACTATCTTATATGCAAGAACATTAAAAGCTATTGAGTGGGCACAATTGCTGATATTAAATAAATATACTAAAATACCAAGTTTACAAGTGTTAGATGGCTGGACTGTTTTTTTTTTTGTTGTTGTTGTTTTTTTTTTCTTCTTTTTTAAGTGAATGTGAATTAACAAAACAGATATTAGGAATTAAGGGGAAATAAATAAAGAAAAAAACAACAACAACACAAACATAATTAGTAACGCTAATTACTGGAGTGTTATAGGGGAATGGTTAAAAATAGCATTTCGTTTCTCCCTTTCATAAAGTACAGACTTCTGAATTGTAGAGAACATTTTTACAGAACCCAGAATAAATAAGGGCTCTTTAAAAAAAAAAAAAAAAAAAAACTTTTATTTATTTATTTATTTATTTTTTGCAAATTGTAAATTTCATGATGTTTTAGACCCTTAAATTCCATGTTAATTTAATTGAAAATAATCATTGCATGAAGCACAGTTAAGATAATATTGCTTAGAGTATCAAACAGTATGTTGCATACTTTAGTAAATCCAAAACATAAAGCATTTTAATGATTTACTCCATATCTGTGGTCCCCGGGCTCTTTTTTTTCATCTTAACACAAGCCACTTCCTCAGAAAGACATCAGGTGCCCTCAGATGTAATCATTCATCATCCTCTAGTCTGACTTTACTCTGCAGTTGAGGAAAGGATTCTGAACATTGTCCATCGGTATGTGCTAAGCCAATGCTGACTCTTTAAAAAAAATAGAAAAGCCTCAAAGGTCACAGGTACAGGCCTCCCCATACTCTGAATCTCTGCACTTCCAACACATCACCACACATACTAAAAAGAGCCATCTCACCCCTGAACATAACCGACTTCAGTTTTCCCCTCAGGCAGATGCCCAAGACCACTAACAAACACAGCTTCTGTCTAACAGATGTCAGACTGCTCAATAAACATTCACACAGTAGCTTTATCACTCCCTAGCTCTTTATTGTATGCTCCTGCATCGTCAGTGTCACAGACTATTGAGATAATTAAGCTGACACTTTTAAATCACCTAGATTGAACACTCGTCAAAGAACCAAGCGCATGTCAGAATCGTTAATTTGAGTATATGGAGGTTATTCTCCAATGACTCAGCAATGTGTGTTAGATAGTGTTTAACATTATAATTAAATTGGAAAGATATGTTGTGATTCAATAAATATGTAACGTGTCGTTTTGTTATGAACAGCTCATTGTCACAATCTTCAGCAATCTAGTCTGTGCAGATCGCTGAAGAACTACACATCTGTCAATTACTACAAGTACTATTATGCACCACACACACCAGTTCTTGATTCCCCCTAGTTACTCACACACAGCAGGAGGCTCCTAAAGGATTGATTTCCAGTACTATATATGCATCTCACTCACACATACACATTGCTGAGTCTTTGTTTTCCCTGTTACATTACGAAGGGCTCCATTGTCTTGCCTTTTTGTGTTTCTTGACCCTCGCCTTGTTTATTGTTTGATGTTGTTTGTCGTCTCTTTGATTATGTCCCCGACTACTATTTTGGATTGCCCATAAACTTACAGTTCGCTCCTATTTGAATTGTTTACTCAAATTTAACTGAATAAAGAAACTGCATCTGGATCTTTTGTTGCCAGAACCATTTTTGTTACCCTCATAACCATAATAATAATAATAATAATAATAATAATAATAATAATAATAATAATTATATATATATATATTATGGTATCATGGGGGTAATACAATAGCGGAGTCGTGGTCACAGGCAGAGGTCGGTGCAGGCATAAACAAGAAACAAGGCAAGAATAAAAATGCACAACAAGACTAGACCAGGAATACAATTAGTGATGTTACATGTTACAATGTTAACAAGACTCAGCAATGTGTGTGAGAATGTGAGGTATATATGTAGTCCAACTCAGTGTTCATGAGCTACAGCTCTGTGCAAGTAATCAGCGGTGATCCAGAACTTGTGTGTGTGTGTGGGATGCCTAATTGGAAATGTAGTGCATTTCAGTGGTAGAATTGTAGATAGGATGATAGTAAATGTTTTCCAGCAATCTACAAGGGCTAGATTGCTGGTACTCGTAACAACTAGATTGTGCATTTTGCAGATTATCAATCCTCAAGCCTCTTAAACAGTATCTTTAGGATACCTTTGTGTTTTTACTATTTGCATAGTTAATAATCTTTTGTTAAATATTAAATTATATATATATATATATATATATATATATATATATATATATATATATATATATATATTTTTTTTTTTTTTTTTTCAGAACATGCTGAGCATTCATTAGCACTCCAGTTGAATGTGCATAAAGCTCACAGGAAAAAAAAAGGCGTACTGAATTAATGGAGTGTTAATAATCGCTAACTCATTAGTGTCATCTTATTTGCATAGCATATCATTGCATCTATTGAGCAGTGAATATTAATTTCTAAAGGCATGAAGTATTGCGAGATATAAATAGAGGAACTATCCATGGATAAACCACTTATCATGGAAAAAGTCAAAGCTCTGAAAAGAGCTGCTATGCAATATTATTAGTCTCCTGCTCTTCTTTTCAACAGATGCACTGCTAATAGGCTGGGATTTTCATGGCTGCATGAATATTATTATTAATTTTAGTTTTGTCACTTTAAAAAGGTTAGTAAATAGCTTTGCGTAATTAAAGTCCATCTCACATTTTTTGCATTTTCTTCTTGTTTTGATGTCTATCCAAAGTCATTGCTCTTACACATTCTAATGTGCAAAGTGTCATGTGTATTTGCATGTATTTGAATACGAAAGTGAGCCTCTAATTAGTTTTTTTATTCTTTTTTTTTTTTTCATCCACAGGGACAGGCCAGCTACTGATGGTGGATCTCAGACATGCGTGTGATCACTAGACAGTTTAACCGGGGTAAGTCTTTGTTTGGAACAGATCCATGACCTGAATAGTGGCTACTCTAAAGCCCCAGTGTCCTCCTCTCTCATTGGATCTGCCTCTTTATAAATCAGCTACTGTGAGACTTCAGTTATCGATGCTTTCAGCCAGTCAGAGTTCAGGTCTGAAGCATGATTATAAATGCTTTCTTTCACTTTATTTTAGTTTGTTTATCCTTGGTTTATTTATCCTTGATCAAATATAATGGAATTAGTTACACAGTGTGCTGAGTAAATGTCAGTATTTTAAATGATTATTGGTCAAAGACATAACATTATCTCAGCTAGCAAAAATAAATAAATAAATAAATAAATAAATAAATAAATAAATTAATTAATTAATTAATAAATTAATAAATAAATTAATTAATTAATTAATAAATTAATAAATTAATAAATTAATAAATTAATTAATAAATAAATAAATAAATAAATAAATAAATAAATTAATTAATTAATTAATTAATTAATTAATTAATTAATTAATTAATTAATTAATTAATTAATTAATTAATTAATAAAAATTCTAATAATTATTGGCAGGCATGCCAATGACAATTTTATTTCTGAAAATGCTCGGAGCTTGAAAAAATAATCATAATAAATAAACAAAATACTGGCTAGACAAAAAAAGTGCAATTTATTATTAGCAAACATTACAGGAATATTATACTTGAACATCCTAAAACAAGTAACATTCAAACTAAATATTTAACTATGATGTTTCAGAAAAAAAGGTCCCAATTTATATTAAGTGGCCTTACTACTACAGCATGTACTTATAATTCCTAATTTGATACAGTGCATTTATTAAGTTACATTTACAAGTAATTATTTTTTGTAATTACATCTATAATTACAGAGTTGACCCATACCTTACACTCAGTTATCTGTTACACCCAAATTTGTTCTAATATTTAGTTAAATAGTGACAGATGAGTAAAGCAATAAATGTGCATATTTGTATCTTAAGTCTTTTGTTTATTTTATCATCATCGGTATCACCATTTATTCATGTAAGACTCCATGGTACAATGATTTAAAAAAAAACAAAAAAAAAACTAGTTAACAGTATATATGGTGAATTACATTTTACTAGATTTCCTTGTATGGCACTTCACTTTTTACGTTTTTTTTTTTTTTGGGGTGGGGGGGTGGGGGGTATTAACGTCAGAATATAATGTTTATGATTTGTTCAGACATTTATAGATTTCTAAATGTAAATTGTCATTTTTCTCATTTAAGTAAGTGCATGGTTATCCACATGTATCGTCACTAAAATTAAACAATTTTTAAAAATTAAAATTTTTTAAAATTTTTTAAAATAAAATTAATACAGTAGATGTGCATTATATTTATCCAAAGTTTATAATATGTATAATATTACCAATTTGTTTTCAATATACAGTTGAAGTCAGAGTTATTAGCCCCCCCATCCCCCCCCCCACCCCCCCCCCCTTGATTTTTTTTCTTTCTTTTTTTAAATATTTCCTAAATGATGTTTAACAGAGCAAGGGAATTTTCACAGTATGTCTGATACATTTTTTTCTTCTGGAGAATGTCTTATTTGTTTTATTTAAACTAAAATAAAAGCAGTTTAATAATAATAATAATAATTGTTATATATATATATATATATATATATATATATATATATATATATATATATATATATATATATATATATATATATATATATATATATATATGTATATATGGTCAAAATTGTTAGACCCTTTAAGCAATTTTTTTTCAATAGTCTACAGAACAAACTATCATTGTACAATAACTTGCTTAATTACCCTAACCTGCCTAGTAACCAGATTAACCTAGTTAAACCTTTAAATGTCACTTTTATCTTTGTAGAAGTATCCTAAAAAATATTGCGTAAAGTTGTATTTACTGTCATCATGGAAAGGATAAAATAAATCAGTTATTAGAAATAAGTTATTAAAACTATTATGTTTAGAAATATGTTGAAAAAATGTGCTTTACGTTAAACAGAAATTGGGGAGAAAAATTAAACATGGGGTTTTTATCATAATTCTGATTTCAACTGCTCTTTTGAAATTCCAATTTATCAAATAGTCCTGAAAACACAAAGTATCATGGACTCCAAATTTGAAGCAGAACAACTGTGTTTTAGTATTAATAATCATGATAAATGCTTATTGAGCACCGTATTACTGACTGAAGTAAGTGCTGAAAAGATCAGGTTTGAAATTTCATTGCGTAAAATACATTCAAATAATGGTTATTTTTAGTTTATTTTTTTATTTCTTATGTACATTAGAGTTTTATGTTACTTCTTATTTTGACAAATAATGTTTATTGCATTACTTTAGTGTCATGTGTGCAACCATAATTGTGTTTAGTGTGTTTGTGTGAATGACTCTGATAACAATCTACTGTATACTGGGGTTTCCCAAACTTTCCAACTCGAGACCCCCAAAATAACAATGCCAGTGACTTGCAACCCTGACATTTCTTGGAGGTAGTTATAAATATACAAACATTGCACACACAACAATAGGCCTAAACACGAGCATTGAACAAACAAAAACACAAAAATTTGGTAACACTTTATTTTGATGGTCCATTTGAGTATTAGTAGACTGTCTGCTTAATATCTGCTGATGCTGCTCCTTCCACAGACATTTGACTGACTATTAGAAACTTAGCAAGTACATGTCAACTTACTCAAACCCTAACCCCAACCTAACAGTTTACTTATAATCTAGTGATAATTAGTTGGCATGTAGATGCAATATAACTCAAATTCAACAAACGGACCATCAAAATAAAGTGTGACCAAAAGATTTAATATTAACCCCACCTAAAGAGACTGGTGGGCACCATGTTTTCAGCACAAGTCTATTCTTGGTTTAATTTTGGAGACTGACACTCAGAAATTATTCTCAATGTTCAGTTGTGGCCTGTATTAATTGTAAATTTTTTTTTATTGCCATAAAGGCAATGAAAAAAAGGCAGATGAAAAAAATTAAATAAAATAGTAGCTTAACGTTACATAAAAAAGCAACAACATGCAAATAAATAGCCATTAGCCTTTCAGTTTATATATATATATATATATATATATATATATATATATATATATATATATATATATATATATATATATATATATAAACTGAAAGGCTAATGGCAGTTTTAATGGTAAACTCTGGCAATCACAACTGCTTTTTTATGTAGATGTTACAGTTTTATTTTATTTGTATTGTTTAATGTAGGATTTTTTTCTGAGATGTGTTTGTGTATGCCTTCATAACAATTATTTATTTGTAATGATTTACATACACCAAGTAGTTGCGTCTACATTTCAAGACAACTTTCTTCATGTTTATAAGATACTGTCAAGATCCAGTTACTTTAGCTTTGAAAAAACACACATTGAAACCCTAGCATTTAGCTTAATTAAGGTCTATTGCATTGACCGCTTTACATTTTGGTGGCACTCCATGCTTCATTTACTTCGAAGCTATGACAATCCTCAATTACAAAATGCACAAACAGGCCAAGGGTTATGGATTAATTGAATATAATTAATTGCTCCAAATGAACGTGTTAAACCCGCAATCGTAATCATTTCATTTATTCAAACCAGGAACAATTGATGATAATGAATTTTCACAAGCCCTCACAGGGCGGTCAGAGGGTTCAAAAAGAAATAAAATGAATCACGCATCACCTGAATATAAAATGTAAAAACCCGTGCTTTTAGAAAATATGAAGGCTTCATAGGCGTTAAACCTTCCGCGCTGGCATGAAATAAAGAAAATACGGAGTTCCAAAGCCACGCAGAGGCTCTCTTTTCATTCATTTTTAATCATCTTTGACAGTTACGCTTTAATTATCATCACAGTCTGGATCTACAGCTGACAGGCTTTTGAGATCGATGACACGGACGTCCACAGAAACCCTTATGACAACTTAATTTGAGTAGGAACGGCCCTATCCTTTGATGTGTCTTTATAAATCACATTAAGTGGCAAATATGAAAGCGCTTTAATATTTGATCACAGTGAATGGCCCAGGCAGTTTAATTTGCTTAGTTCCTATGGATATTCCTCCAGACGCCGCGCACTCGCACCGCTTTCCCTCGCAGGCCATTCACTGACAGCTGCATCCACGTGTGTTGACTTCTTGCGCAAATCTGCCCATTGAGTCTCGCCGCATTCATTGGAGTTCACGCCGGCTGATGCAACCCAGACTGTCAGTGGGGCAATGCCAAAGAGATTAGATGCTGCTTTACTCTGCTTGTCTTCACAGGGGAGAGAACTGAGCTCATACAATCCTCGCAATATGCAGCCATTCATTAACATCCATCCGTTTTCTACGCCGCTTATCCTTTGTAGAGCCGCAGGACGGTTCATTAACATCAAACTGTATATGTAAATGAATGGGAACTATGTAAGTACTTGAAATTCGAAGTTAAGCTCAGTTTACAGCGTTCGTGGAATAATGTTTGATTACAACAACAACAACAAACAATTTTAAATTGTCAGTGTTTCTTTATAAATAGCAAATATCAAGATTACAGTGAAGCATTTTGTGACTAAAGCTTGTCTTTAGAGGATTTTGAAGTAGATATGAAAAGCTTGAATTGCTTAACTTGGACTGTTATAACTTGGGTATTTGTTTTAGTTGTTAATGACATTGAAGGTTTGAACTGAGTGTTTATGGTAGTAAACTGTCATGGTAATACAAAGGACCCTTTCACATTTCAATGTTTCTCAGTGGTGAAAGTTGTCATAGTTGGGTAAATTTACAGCGCAGTGAATGGGAGAGTCATTCATTCATTCTTTCATTTTCCTTCTTCTTAGTATCCATTTCAGAAGTTGCCACAGTGGACTCAACCACCAACTATTTTGGCATATGCTTTATGCAGTGGATGGCCTTCCAGCCACAACCCAGTACTGGGAAACACCCATCACTCTTGCATTCACATACACTCAA